TTCAAGAGAATCAGAATAAAGTTTTTGTTCTAATCGTTGGCGATTAGTATTTTCTTTTTGTTCATCTCCTATACCAACAGTTTCTAACGGTTTCTTTTCTTTAACACGATGTGTAGATTCATTAATAACTCGGCTATGTCTTATATTTGAATTATGTTGTGACTCTGGGTAATACTGTTTCAGTCTAACATGCCATGCGATGCTTGAAACAGCTGAGACCGTTCTAAATTGATGAATAATGTTACGTGGTAAAAAATAAATATCATTATCATAAAGATTTATCCTTGCATAACGAATACCTTGTCTTCTTAATTGATTCAACTTAGCATCTTCTACCCATTGTACACATTGTGATATTGGTGGTTCATGAAGGTCTAGTTGAAGTTTTTCAACTAATTCTGGAAAATCACCAGCATAAAATGCAACTACGTCTTTTGTAGCTCTATTATATTCTGATGTCTGACCACCATGCACTGCTTTTAGTACTCCGACAGCAGCTGTAGTCATTCTGTCTAATCCATGACCTACATGATCAGCATGAGCTTTTGTACGATCTTCAAACATGTATTCTCGAGCTTCGCTAAGTCGTGGTAAGTATTGTAAGTTGCGTAGTTCATTAATGCCCGTTCTACGTCTCTTGTAAGGGCTTTTATTTATATCCGCTGTAGGAACTAGTTGTTCCCCTGGCCTAATCCATAGAATAGGACCATCATTTGATTCTTGTGGAGTTTCCATTTTTACTACTGATAGTGGACCCCATGGCATTGTCTAAAATTAATATAAATCAACCAAAATTATATGGTTACATACTGATTATATAAAAGTTATTTCGTTAATTTACTTTAATGTATGTATAATATTATTATTCTTACCAATTTCAAAAATGGATTCTCCTCTAATTTTTGTAAAAGATCAGGAAAGTAACCTCCAACTTCTTCATGGACAGTACCCACAAGACTTATTTGATGCAAAGGTCCATATCGTATTGTTCCATTATTGTATGCTTTGCATACTTGCTCTTTGTACTGTACCATAGTAGTTGTTTCAATATCACTACTTCTTCCTAAAACTCCATTTTTCACAGTTAAAGTAGGATAATTATTTGCCATATAATCCAAAAGATCAGGGAGATATGATGCTGCATTATGCACTATTCCCATAACATGATGTGCATTACCATTTTCATCTTCTCCAAAAACTACCTGTAAATTATAATTAACACTTTACCGACTGCTAGCCTATTAATATGCTTTTTTGTCGCCGACGCTTACCAAACAATAATTGATTAACCCTTTCGCTACAGGTGTGTGTACGGGTGCCGATTATAATTTTTGCATCAATCCTTGTATTTTAGAATTTACTATTCTCAATTAAATTACTAGGAACTATAATTTAATGTCTAACTACCCTAAATTATAATTTTATTTATAATAATAGCAAAATTTTCAAATATGTAAATAACTGAATATCCATAAAATATACTTATTTTCATGTTTTTCATATAATACGACGAGCCAGTTGTTACTTAGCTTGTAAAATAATATATATGTACAAGAAAATCACAAAGTAGCGTTAAAAGTGTGAATATCGAAGACTATCGACTGACTAGCAATGTGCACACTTCACGGTGCGGTACCCCGTTCAGTAGCGTCACTTTGGCAGAACAGACTGCCGTAGCGAAAGAATTAATCAGCTTTTTGTCGTCGACCGATAACTTATTAATCGGTTGACATAGCGGTGAACGTACATTATCATTATATGAACAGTAATTTGTTATTAGAATCTTATTAGTATCTTATTAGAATCTGTTAGTAGAATCTGCGGCTGAACGGTCGGCCGAACGTGCGTATGCTGTTGAAATTCTAATGGTCGGTAAAGTTTTAATATTGAAAAAAATGTTATCTTATATATTATTCATTTTAACTAATATTTTAGAAATATCAATATTTAAGTATAATAAAAATATACTGTTCATTGTAATTAACCCTTTGACTGCGAAATACTCTCCAAAGTTATTTGCTCAGGATATTACTTTTTTGTGTATTTGTATGTATTTTGTTGAGGTTTTGATAGATTATATAGAACACAATCAAGTTACTCTATTACTTTGTCTACGCCAAATGGAAAATACTTTATATTTTCTCGTCGCTAGAGAATGAGGTATGTGCATATCTTAAATATTGAAGATTTTACGTGTGTGGGATTTATGAGAGAGAAAAAATCACTAGATGCACTTTTACGTCCATAGTTAACACCAACAGCCTTTTCTGAACGTATATATATGTCATAGCTATCAAAGGGTTAAGATATCATTCACATCTTGAATTACATACTTTAAAATACTCTTGTGCCAACTCTTCTACTTGTTCACTCGACAAAGTATCAATTTCATCTTGAAACATGTGCACAATAGATGCTCCACCATTAGGGTAAGTCTCTATATGAATATATTTTTTATATTTTAAGCCTTCTAATAATAATTCACTCCTTAATAGTGAACTACTAAGCAATTTGAAATTTTTAATTTGTAAGTTTAGTCTCAAATTATCACTAGTAGATTTTGATAATGGTAGAGAAATTGTTTTAGTATTTAAAGGAAGTATATTGCGATCACGTTTACATTGGACACCAACATTTGCCCGTTTGATTTTACTTCTTCTATAACATCTTGAACAATGTCTTCTGTCACTATGTTCTTTACGTTTATCTTTAGATGATGAGTCCATCTTTGAATGAGAAGTTGAAGATGGTGCACCAATAGGTTCTATACATTTTTGATCGGCTGTATTATCATCAGTTTTTTTAACAACAGTGATCAGTATCCTTTCATCTTCCCAATTTGATTTTATTGTTTCTGATTCTTCTTTTTGTTCAACTATTTCTGTTTTTACAATCATTTCTTGTACAGGTTCCTCAGTCAAACTAGGTTCATGCTTTATTTTTGTTTGCAAAACAGATTTTTCTGAATCATTCATTTCTAATTTCCCGCAATGTTGATAGCTCTGCAATTCTTTGCTAATTTTTGTAGATGTCTCAGTATTTTCTTCATCATATTTTGCTGTATCCATTACATTTATATTAGAATTAGTATGAGTCGATGTCATAGGAAACATTATATCTGGACTATGTGGACTATTAGAAACCCTTGGAGGATAATCTGGACTTCGAGGACTACTGATTACTTCTCCACTGCTTTGTGGACTTTCTCCAAGTTGAGGAGTGTTGTTAGAGAAATTTAAACATCCCTCTAACTTTGCTGGTAAAGTATGCATGTTGGTTGATACTATTGTACTGTTGCCACATGTGGGATCGGTCTAATAAGTGAAGTAAACTTTTATAAATATTCTCTTTTGGAGCCTATAAAATCAAATACTTACATGAATAATATGTTGCACTGGTTCTCTAACAGTCCTCAATAACTCATTATTACAGTGATCTGGATTATCTATAGCAAATATAAAAGATAATATTCACAGTAACTTATATATATTTAAAACTAAATAATGAAATCTGGCTAGGAGACTGAAAAAGAATAATAATAAAAAAACTTTAAGTCAGTTTTATTATATGTACTTGATTTTAGACTTTAAATAGTCTTCAATAACGATATACAGCATATGCTTCATAAAAATATATAAAAAAAAGAATCATTAGTTGTAATACTTTAGTTAAAATTCTAATTCTGGAAATGAAAAAAAAGAATAATTATAGAAAATATAATATATATGAAATAAAATCATAAGGATAAAAAAGATGTAGATCTCTGTATATATGATTTTGTTCATATCACTATATACATGATTACCGTCTGTTTTCTCAGGTACACAAGCAGCACTGTCTAGATCATTCTTCTGAGTGGACATACTGTCTGAATTCGAGGGTAATTTATGCAAAGTTGTATTAATAACGAATTTATAATTTGCACTTTCTTGCACATCACCAGAAGACCTCAAAATATTCGCGTTTCTTTGTAACTCATGTCGATCGGTATTTGTGTTGAACGATGACGCTGTTGGGAAAACCGTAGGCGTCCTGTCCGAATTTAAACCGATATTGTCGGAACAATCGGTTGCCTCTTTAATTAGGTTCTTCCACTGTGAGCTAAGTACCTTCGCGTTCGATATTTCCCCTCTCAACGGCTCAAACACTTGCTGAATCGTATTATTTACATCACATCGTTCATTTGACACGATATCCGTATCATTCTCGGATGCCATCTTGATTTTCTAAGCAATATCCTGGGTGCAAAGATACTACGCGATGTCCGATTGGTTTATCTATAGCCGCCTTTCGAACTTAGGTAATTCTATTCGTTCGAAGCGCGTGTTGAAGAAGGGGCTTGGCGAATCGAATTGTAGGTAATATCGAAGGACATTTTTACTCATTGAAACCTTCGATAATCTTCGATCATCAATTTATTTTTTTACTAGATATTATTACAAGTATAAGTATTGCGAAGCATGTATTTGATTTTATTGGGTTGGCAACTAAATAAGTGCGGATTTGTTGGTTGGCAACTGAGTGTGGTTACTTTAATAAAAACCTACAGGTCCCCGGGGACCTCTCTTTCTTTTTATCTATCTATATATATCTCTTTATTTTTCTCTTTTAAACTTACAAGTTAAGATTAACATTTACATTGATTCGCGTGATTAATTGGTCGTTCAAACATTATATTTATGGTTAAAGTACTTTACGCAGCTTGGCATTAAAAAGTAAAAATAGTACAATATTATCACTATGCGAGAAAAGTTATTATATACTATTGCAAACTATCTAATATAAGATAAGTATTAAATAGAAAGTATTAAATCATTTTATATATATGTATTTCTTCAAAATATTTATCTAAACCTAATATATAACTAAATCTAGTTATTTTTGCAGTTTATATTGGAGTCATTAAAATAAAAAATAACTATATTATAAAATATTAATTGTATTATAATTGGTTAAAGCCATATAAAGTGAAGATCAAATTGTACGGAATTAGCGTTGATTGGTCATCTTGACAGGACTAAACTAGATTATCACTAGAGTACACTAGACTGAAAAAGGGTTAAGTTTTTTGGTGTAAACAAAAAAGCGAGAGTTATGCCTGTCTAGATTTATTGTTCGAAGGTTGTTCGTATGATGTTGCGCGCCGCCGCGAATTCGTGATTCTACGGACTGGTGCGAGGGGAAATAAACACAGGTAGAGCGAAGTGGAGTGGTGTGACAATAGCGCGGGTACAACAATGTCGTCGGCGAGTAAAAAGGCCAAGGAGATAGAAGATCCAGGTTCGGGTGAAGGAGTTGAAGTTCGAGATTATGACATCGAAATACAGAAGACACTCGAAGAAATAGATGGATGTCAGAATCAAATCGATGGCTTGAACGAGAAGGCCAGTGACGAGATTCTCGAAGTCGAGAAAAAGTATAATAAGTTGCGTAAACCTTATTTCCAAAAACGAAATGATATTATCAAAAGGATACCTAATTTTTGGGTAACTGCTGTATCCTTTATGATGCCAACGTTATTTCCAATTACAAATTGATAAAACTCTCGATAGTTTTGACGTTTCCCGGCGATGCCGGCGTCCGCCGGCGCCAGCCGCCATCTTACCCACTTGTGTACCTACAAAAGTGTGTATAACCTGTAGATATAATCAAAACGAACACGTTTATTTCATTCTTTTTACTATAATTTCTCAAATTTCCAATTGCTTTCTTTCTACCAAGATTTGATTTATTTTCTTATCTCATAATGAATGCATTTATTCATTACTATAATCTTTCTCTTATATTTATTAAGTTACTCTATATTTCTCTATGTTACTACAGTTTATTGTCATAGATTTAATACTAACTTTTTTTATTTCAAATGCATATTATTATTCCTTATTTTATAAATAGTTTGTAAACAATAAAGAAATAGCTGAAATATTGGAAGAAGATGAAGAAGATGCATTACGGTTTTTGAACAAATTAGAAGTTGAGGAATTCGAAGACATTAAATCTGGTTACAGAATTAATTTTCACTTTGATGAGAATCCATATTTTGAAAATGAAGTTCTTACTAAAGAGTTTCATCTAGGCTCCTCTGGTGAGCACAGTTTTTGATTATCATATTTCTATCTTTTTATGTAAAATGTTATTTAGATATAATGCAGTAATATAAAGATTCAGTATCATAGTTGTGATTAATCTCCTGCTGTTTCGCAGGAGATCCAGCATCCCAAAGTACGCCTATTCGTTGGAAAGAAGGGGCAGATTTAACGAAACGTGCAAAAACAAAAACACCTTTAAAAGGTCGTAAGAGGCCACTCAAACATAGATCATTCTTTGATTGGTTCACGGATCATGGTGACCCTAGTTCAGATGAAATAGCTGAATTAATCAAAGATGACATGTGGCCTAATCCTTTGCAGGTATTATCGATATAAATTATAAGTACTATTTGAAATACTATTTTAAAAATCATGTTTAGATTTTATATAGGAATATTGCATTTTGTAATCACTCTTTTTGTAGTATTACCTAGCTCCAGATATCGATATTGAAAATGGTGTTGAGGGTGATGGTGAAGATTGTGAAACAGAAGAAGAGGAAGAAGAGGAGGATGGAGGTGGAGATGATGGCGATGAAGGAGGTGAAGGAGAAGAGGGAGATGATAGTATAGTTGTAGTAGAAGATGATGTAGATGAAGAAGATGAAGAAGAGGAGGCTGTGAACGATGAAGATGATGGTGTAAATGAAGAGGATGACTTGCTCGTAGATGATGAAGTGGATCGTGAAGGTATGATTAATACTAACTGTATCAGCTTGGTACGGTTAGTGTTAAAAGCTAGAATAATATATTTTATATCTATTGTTATTAATATAATCTTCATGAGTGTTTAAAAAGAATGTAATGTTTTAGATGGTGATGGAGAAGAACCAGAATAGAATTAAAATGTGGACTCTGTAATCAGTCGCCATTGCTGAAATTGTGAAAGCATCAAGGAACTTGAATCCTCGATTGATCGAGAACAGAGAAAGTTTACCGAACTAAAAACATTGAGCCATATGAATAGATCTTAGGAAAATAATGTTTGAGAATATAAATAGAGAAATTAATTTCGCGCACAAAAGTTCTCTTTGGGTACGTGCGTCAGAGCAATATGGCACTCATAGTAGTGTATCGAAAGTGACTTAGAGATAATGCAGTTTGAGTTCCCTCCATGCGCCATGTCAAAACAATTTTGGGTGTTTGGTTCCTAAGCTATATTCATATGGCCTAGTCATTCCCCGAATATTAGATATAAAACAGAGGACACCTGCTTGGGTCTATAATATTACCATTATATTATTAAGTTAAGTTATATATAAAAGGTAAATGAAGATGTCAAGCAGGCGTTCTACTTGTTCTGTTTCCCATCAAAATCTATTTCCTGAACATTACCCTTCAATGAGGGATGTCAGGTATCATTTTTGAGAGCGGCGAGAATAAATATAGCTGCGGATGTAAAATGCAATGAAGGTTTTATCTTTCGTAAGTTTTCGTAAGAGAAAATAATGCTTTTACATTATTCTTTCTCATCAATACATATTTGTAACTTTTTTATTACTATATGAAGTATATAAAAAGAATCGATTTATTAAAAAAAATATTCAGTTTCCTATCAATGATAAACAAGAGATAATATTAAGTTTATAGTTTGTGTGTGTTCTATTATATAGAAAATATAAGTATAGTAAAATCTATAAAATATAGGATGAGAATGAATCGTGACATATAATCTTTTTTTGATTTACTTATTTTTTATTATTTGTAATATTTTTTAAAGAATATTCAATAAAGTACAATATATTGCACTATTTTATTACATGAGATACAAAGGAAGTACTTGGAAAACGAAGAGTAAAATCTTCATTGCCATACACATCTATCATTTTATTGAAACACGTGTAAAATTTTATTATTCAACCTGATGCTTTTATATCGATCTTCGCGTTATTGGCTCAACTATCACAATTGATATCTCTTTAAAAGCATTATGTTGCATGGACAAATTGTTGGAATAGCCTTGATTATATATTGGTTTTTAAAATGTAAATAGTCTATTCAAACAAAACAGATCCATTTTTATTCCGACGATTCCATGTAAAGTCTATAATTTGATATGATTATAAATTGAACATTTTAACTAAATATGTGCAACATCCCTCGAACACCTTGCTATAATATAAATATAAACTTTTATAAAATATGTTTTTATCGTTTAATATCTTTATATATTTATATTATTTTCAATATCTTTCATGTTCATATATTGATTTTATTTGTGTCAGATATTTGATCTTACAATTAATGTCGTAGTTGCTTAAATATACATTCTCCTCTTTTTTAAACGCAAGCAGGCACCAAACATGTGCCGTTTGGTAGTTGAAACGAAAAAAAAAAGCACTTCAGGTTCAAAGACGACGCTTAAGGAGACGCTGATGAAGTTTGAAATAAGAACGACGGCACGCTCCTACTACGAAACGTTTCAACTGACACAAATATGGATAACTTTTTTTTTACAACGGAGGACACTATAAACCCGGATATTATTTGATCGTCACGGTATCACGCGTGTTACGACGACCATACTAATCTCGTTATGTATTTTCACGACGATGATCTTCCTCGTTCTCATCGCGAAGCATCATAATACCCTCACACATGGCACATGTGACTAAATTTCCTATCCCTTTACGTTCCCTAACTCATTACGATGAAGACCTTGCGACGAGACTTCATTTTTTTGTTTGTTTTTAATTAATCATCATGTAAAAGTAACTTCTATTCTTTATGTAAATGATTACGTAATCATAATGATAGTCAAGTACATTCGATAGTGAGGCGCTTAATGATATTCCTGATTAACAATGATGAAATATACTTTAAGTATCTACTACCATCAGCAACAATGACCTTTAGTGACAAATTACGCTGATTATTCTCACGGTACAGATATTAAAAGAAATAGATCGATTATTCTGTTCGTACGATAATAATAAAATAAATGATATTAAAGTAAAATATAAATACTTATAAATATTAGAAATATAATATATAAAAGTGAGTAATATCTAAAGAAAATGAATGATCCTATTTGAATGAAAACTCTTCGTTACCAATCTTTTAATGGAACACGAGAAAGAAAACTATAGAAGAAGAAGAAGAAGGACAAGAGTAGGAAGGGTCGAATTAAAAAAGAAATAAAAGATGAGGAAGGATGAAGAAGAAGAAAAAACGATGTTGGTAAAAAAACAAAAATAGGAAAAATTGAAATGAGAAATCTATGTATGGTATGGTCGAATCTAGTCGAGCTCGATGATATAGGGTAAAGTTGTCCTGTTCCCTGCGGGTGGTGCGGAAATTTGCGTGATCAACAAAGCCTAGCACTGTGTGTTAAAGTAAAAAAGAGGAAGTCGCAACAAAAACGTAGCTTTGTGTCGGTCGACCGGCAACGGGAAAAGAGGAGATCACATGCCGCAGAAGATTAAGAAGAAGACGAAGAAGAAACTACGAGGAGGAGAGCTAGGAATGAGACAAGGATAGAATGTTCCTTCGGGTCTATCAGGAATCCTTAAGAATCGTCACGCGTGCTTTGTGAGAAAGAGAGATGGATTAAAGTAAAATACTAGGGGTGGGGATAATGATGAGAACAGACAGAGAGAAAAAGGGGGTAGGGAGAGATGGTAAGATCTTTTACGAGGGAGAGACGCGTTGCAAAGGTGCGGATGACAAAACTAAACCAACCGAGATCCGAGAGCTCCAATGCACGTCAAGCGCTCGACCGAAGCGCAGCGCGTTCTTTTCTACTTTCAAAAGATTTGTTTTTCCTCTTTTCGAGAGAAAAAGAAATAGGAAAGAAAATAAGAAAAACAAAAGAAAAAAAAAAGAAAAAGATAGAGGGAAGAATCAGATAAAATCATCGCGAGTTTCGCGTCGATAGCACGAACAACGATATGATTTTTTTAACGTACGGAAAGGGAAGATCCCAGTACAAGAAGATGACCCGAGAAAATAGTTTTCAACTTTACGGCTGTTTAGTCTTTCTTCTAATCGTCCAACTACTATTACTGCCGAGGGAAGGTAACTTTTTATTTTTTTTCCTATTTCTCAAAGAATATTTTTAAATATACCCCGTTTATCAATTGATTTTTTCTATAATTATTGTTCTTTTCTGCCTTTTTTTCATCATACCGGAAGGGTGCATACTAAGAGAACATTTTAATGTTACATGACGAAGTTTCTCTCGATTACGTTTCATTATTATTCTCTCCTTCGCGTTGAACTTCATCGTTTCGTTGAGCCACAGTTGTTGGATAGGCGTTTTGTGCGATTGTCTTAAACGAATTATTTTATTAACCACCGTGACCTAGCCCTATTTGCGTGCGCGGGCTTTTGCTTATCTCCGAATTGATTTCGATCAATGTACAACTGTTAAGCGTGATGCGTATCAACTAAACGCGATTCGATCCATCAAAGATAGTATCGAATTTATTTTCAGAATTTTCTGAATACACACCTATATACACATATTATGCAAGTCATATAAATTTTACTATTAAAAATTGTATTCTACGTATTCTAACATTGTTGATAAGAGAAGCTCGAAGACAACGAAGTGTAACATCAAACAATATTACGTTAAATGTTACACCGATGAGGCTTCTCTAATCATTCATTTTTAATTACTTTGTAAAATATTATATTTGTTTAACGAGATGGTTTCTATGAATTGTACTCATCTAATTAGCGCAGTTTCCTTCTTATCGCTTTAGTCAAACAACAGTTTTTGCTATTCGCGCGCAACAACTTTTGTTTTCGTTCTTTTACTTACATTTCCTGCTCGAACTAGATCACGAATCAAATTTATTGAATATCAGTAGACAAATAAGATGTAAATAGGAGATAGTTTGCTTTTCATAGCTTGTCCCTTGTTTCATTTTATAAAAAAAAAAACAAGAAAAAGAAACATCGGCAAAATCCGTGAGAAGATAAAATGACAAACGTGATAAAAGTCAATAGTAGTTAGTACGATTTACGTACTCCTTCCTTTCAGGGATTATTGTCGATGCTAAAATGGAAGCACGATTTGAAAAATGTTGCGGTCTTGGTACTTCATGGGCAATGGAAAATCTCAGATGTGAGAAATTCACTGGACCGGTCAATGGTGTGCCTAGAATCGAACAAGGCCTCTGTTTAGAAACTGTAGATATTTGTTGCGTGCGAACTTACCACGATCGACAATGCGAAAAAGGAAAAGCCGATGCTCGCAATGGTCTGGCTTGCGTTACGAGCAGTAGCACCGTGAAAACACCAAGACGAGGAGATTACCATCGCGATTGTTGCGAGGGTTGCAAACTCGGTATTAAAACGTTTGCCAAATAATTAATTTCTACGATGAATTTCACAGAACATTTTGTTTTATCGACGATATTTTAGGAATACTTGCCGGTTCTATGGGCCAAGGTTGCTCATTCAAAAGATTCTCTTTTGGTATCCCATGGGATCCTGCATTTTTACAATGTTGTTACGAAGCATTACCAAATACTACGTTGGCTACTGATGCATCAGATTCCACGTTTTCGTCCGATAGTAGCAGCACGGAAACCGAATCTGAAATGTCATCGTCTAGTACCTCAATGACATCTTCAATTTCGGAATCGTTACCATCCTCTTCGTCCTTTCCTTCGTCTCCTTTTTCGACCGATTCGACAACGATTCCTACGCCCCGTAAGTGATAACATCCTGTTTAAAAAGTTCCATTAAAAAATATCTTCCTTATGATTTTTGTGTAAAAGTAAGAACAAATTTTGTCCCAATAGCTTTGGATGATATTTGTCAGCTGATGAAAGGTCTTCTCTGTACCGACATATGTATACCAACGCCAGGATCTTATTATTGCGCTTGTCGCGAAGGATTTACTCTTTTGGAAGATGGAAAAACTTGTAGACAAGATTTACCAACCGATAGATGCAAATCTACTAATCCTTGCGAGCAACGATGCACGGACACTGGTGTAGCAGTCCGTTGCAGTTGCAATCCTGGATTCGAGTTGGCCGATGACAAACGTTCCTGTATTCCAAAATCAACAACGAATAGTACTGAATCGACTGGTACCGAAGAGGACAACGAATTGGTTCCTCTGTGTCCTGCTGGTTATCGTTATGATTCAACTTCACAGGTTTGCAATGGTACGTGCATTCGCTTAGAGAATTATCTCGATAATTTATTTAAACATTTATTTAATTTGTATGTGAAGAAAAAAATAAGAAAATCTAACTGTGACGAATGATTACACGATCGTAAGCTTTCTGTGTAACGTCAGACGTGTCAAACTTGCTATCTGCTCTTGCTTCTTCTTCCTTATCGATAATTTATTTGCTTATTTTGTCCTTGTATACATAAAATGCATTCGACTCGTTTTATTTCTTTTTTTAAATCATAATTTTCCGCTTTCGTCTTGATACCATATTGCGTTTAGACGTAAACGAATGTTTGGAAAGAAAGATTCGGTGTCCAGGATTATGCGAAAATACCATAGGATCGTTCAGATGTATTACGGATGCACACAAAAGTGCAGCTTACGAAGCTTGTCCTCCTGGATATCAGTGGGATGCTCGGACTAAAGTTTGCACAGGTATGCTTACTTCTTCTTCTTCTTCTTCTTCTATTTCAAATATGTGTTTTTTCGTGTTAAGCTCAAAACTTTTCAACCTATCATCGTTTATTAGGCTCAAAACTTTTCAACCTATCATCGTTTATCAGGCTCAAAACTTTTCAACCCACCCATTAATATTTTTATATAATTTTATATATATTTTAAAAGTGTACGTGTGTGGAAACTTTTCCCTTAGTTTTCTTAGAAATGATTTTACTGCTAGCACAGTGTACGGTTCTGATAAACCCGTATAACTGTGTAGAGTTTTTTAGAGATCGGTGGTTTTTTTTCGAAGGTCTGACGGAGCCCTTGTGAGATCTTTTTATATAAATAAATGATAATTTCTTTTCACGTTGAGATAGGAAAATGTTAACTGAATAAATAAAAGAAAATGACGAACAATATTTGTTTTTCCAGATATCGATGAATGTATCGCGTTACCAAATGTTTGTAAAGAAGGTACACATTTTTGTGTAAACACTCAAGGT